TTTTTTTTTTCACAAACTTTCACTATGTGAAGAGTCTTTAAAATACTGTGGAAATATAATAGTAGTTGTTTGTCAGACAAACATCTGTCACAAAACTATTATACGGTACTGCGCTGTGGAATTTTAGCTTGTATTACATGTGGCAATTGTGATCTTGGCAGTGATTACTGCTGAAATATCTGGATTGCTTTTTTCTTGCTAACAAAAATTTTCTCGCCGTGCAGAATTCGGTGAACAGCATTAGAGTTTCTCCACCAAATAGCAGCTCTGGTAGATCTGCTGCTCTACCTGCTGGAGCCTCATGGTATGTCAATTACTGATCTGTTGTCTCTTTCAATTTGTATGTCACTATTTCTCAGCATTCAATTTGCCTTCACTAGGGGGATTCGTTCTTCCAATAATCAACCCTTGTCCACAAGTATACCATGTTCCAATGGACTACATAAGCATAAACCTAATGCCTGTAATGGACCGGTGACGTTTTCTACTGCAGTTGCTAGCTCTAGTCAGGTTTCTTCGTTGCATAGTGACTCTGGAAAGAAGCTGGTTCCTAGTGAAGAAAGCAACACAAGTCTAGACAAAAGCAAACTGGAAGCCATAGAACATGTGAAAAAGGATTCTAGCACAGATAGCAGAACTATTTTGAGTAGTTCCTCCTCGTCTGTACTTTCTGTTACTTCAACAATAAACAGGCAACACGGTCAACCTACATCCAAGGACAAAGATGGAGATGCCAGCATGCTACCCTGTACCAACAACTCAGTTAATCAATACCTAAAGTCTTGTGGTCCTGATTCAGACACAGATTCCAATGATTCTGCAGATGGAAAAATTGAAAATTTATGCTCTGAAATTTTTTCTATGAGCATTGATAGACATCAACAGTTGCAGAATGGCTATGCTGAGCACATTGGAGAACCATTGATATCGCAGACCTCTGGAATATCTGCATTACCAGTTGATGAGGATTATGCCTCAAATCGTCTCTCTCCGTTGAAATTGGAAACACACATGCAAGTCTCGCAAGTTGACTCGCTTCAGATGGAAGATAATCTATTATCTTTTGATAAACAAAGACTCAAGGATCCAGAGTTTGCTTCTAGCAGAAACAGTATACCAGATTCTTCTCACTCTACTCATCTTTCAAGACATTCTAATATTCATTCTCCAACACAAAATAATTCTGACGCTTCAGTCAGGGTCAATGTTGATAGGCAAATTGTACATACAAAAGACAATTTGATAGTATCAGCTTCTAGTAATTCTGTTATGTCAAATAAACATCCTGACAATGAATTCAGTAGTTCTTCTGATCCAGTGAATGATGTTGAACATATTTATTTGTTTCCAATTAATAAGGATAAAAATTCAGTTCTGGGAAGATTCAAAGGTGAAGCAGCCTGTCACAGTCATCCTGCTGCTGTTGATACGGGGGAAAGCAGCATAATATCAGATATTTTGTCGATGGACTCTTATTCATGGGATGACTCGATACGTTCACCTCAGAACCTGGCAAAATTGTTTGGTGAAACTGATGAACGACAAGGGCCTTTCGGAGTACCTAGTTCGCGGAAAATCCAGAATAGCAATCAATCGAGGTTTTCTTTTGCTAGAGAGGAGGAACGTATGAACCGAGCATCTGACTTTGGACTAGCTATCAATTATGTTGAACAATCTCTTAAGGACCGCCCATTTGGCAATGATTTCACAAACAGCAACAGCTTTCATCTTGAAAAGTTTGGTTCTCACAATAGGCTATCTTTATTTAATGGTGTGGAGTCAGATAATTTTGCCAGCAGTCATTCTTACATCTCTTCTAACAAGGTTCCTGGTGAGTTGCGATTTATACGAATTTCAATGAAGTTTATTCATAGTTTGTTGTTGACTTGGCGGGGTTGTAAGTTTCTTTTTATTTCTCGGATATATTAGTAACCTTGTCATGGAAATTGACACTTGCGAAGTATACATGTTCAATTTAGTTCTTTCTTGATCAAAATATTCTTGTGCCTCATGAGAAACCTAGGGATATTTTCAATTTGTGTTTTCCATCTGATGGAATTTATTCTTATGTAGCTTTCTATTTTTCTCTCTCAAAACATTTTTTCTGGGTGCCTTTGAACAGTTTCAAGATCTCAAGTTTCTGCCCCCCCGGGTTTCTCAGTGCCTAGTAGGGTACCACCTCCCGGTTTTATTTCTCACGAGAAGACAGGGCGGATATTCGACCCACACTCTGGTCCGTTAATTTATGCTAGGCACTTAATATTTTCGGACTTTTACTTCATGTTAAAAATCTTGTGTTTGGTTTTGAATTATCATTTTATTCTGTCTTGTGCAGGAAATTATATGCCCGATGCTTCGCTTTTGCCAAGAAATCAGTATCAGGCATCCCCAAGTGGTGATTCTATTAGTAATGCCGAAATTGAGTTTATGGATCCTGCAATTTTGGCAGTTGGCAAAGGGATACTTCCTGGTAGCCTAAACAGCTCAGGCTTGGGTGCAAGATTAAGTTATTCTCCGCAGTATAGTACGCTTGAAGAATTAAGATTCCAGTCCTTGTTACAAAGATCAGTTCCTACTCATCAAAACCAGAGATTTACAGACCCGGGTGACAGTTATTCTCCCCTTGGCGATGCTTATGGAGTTCCTTCTAGGGTGCTAGAGCAAACCCTAACCAACAACCTGTCCCCATTTTCCCAGTTCACTCTTCCTCAGCCTAGAAATGCTGTAACATCCAATGGCCAATGGGATGGGTGGAATACGGTGCAGGGTGAGAATGCTTTAGGTATGGCAGAACTACTCAGAAATGAGAGATTGGGACTTCCTAAGTACTACAATGGTTATGAAGATTCAAATACCCGCTTGCCAAATTCTGGAAACCTATATAATCGGGCTAATGGGATTTAAATTTGGTTGGAGACTTATATGGCACTGTTGGTACTGATAGTGTCAATGGTAAAATAGGAAAAATCTTGTGCGAATTAGAGAATGCCTGCTTTAAGGACTTCAATGTTTGGCAATCGGATGACCTGATCACTTGCATTGACTAAACGGACCTAGGCATGGAATGCCCGAAATATTTGTGTTCGAGGACATTAGAGTGATTCACGAGTAGTCTGATGGCACTGCTTTTAAGTTGGTGGAGGATCAAGCCCTTTCAACAGGGAGTCCCAAACCAACAGGTAAAATATTGGCTCTCTTTAATATGGTTTATGTTGTTGATTCGTGAACGAGGCTGTTGTGCATGTATATCACGGGAAATAATAAATGGAGTAGAGTATTAAAAAAGTAGATTAGAGGCTTAATGGTCACTCATGTATGTCATTAGAAAGATGAATGTTACTAATCTAGTTCAGAAAAGAAAGAACAGTGAGCTTGTTGTACCATCAGACACTTCTTTCCGTAAAACAAACTTCTGTATTAGACTCAGATTTCTCACTAACTGTTTTTCCCCCCTTCGTCCTCTTCGTATCTTTCGGCTCTTGGTAAGATGAAAGAATCGTTTTGAAGAAGATACAAACTTTGCGATCCTAATCCTTTTTATACTTGAAAAACACAAAGTAACTTCACCTTTCCCTCGTCCTATTGTACATCTCAATTTCCATGGAACTTACGGAATAATGGAGTTTTGAGATGTTAATCTGGACATGAATAGACTGCTACTGCTACTACTATTATTATTTGCACACTGCTCATTTTGTTCATAGCCTTTCACCCTCATATTTTCAGGTAAAGGGTGCTTGAGATTCAGGCCTAATGTGATGGTCATGCAAGCAATGTTGTGCACGATGAAATCAGCTTGTGATCTTTTCTTTCGTAATGCTAAAGCTTGTTAGTTTGTTTGAAGTTGTTCTACAGAGGTGATCGAAAATACTTTCTTTCACAGTGGTGAAAATTGATTTGTGTGTAGGCAAAAATTCAAAAATGGGAAGTTTAGGCCCTGTTCTCTTTACCGTTTTCGGGTCGTTTTCTGTTTTCGATTTTTCAAAACGGTGAAAACGTGTTCTCTTTCCGAAAATGGGAAGTTTATAGTTTTGTTTTTGCTTATTTACTTGAGAGTATGATCGAGATCGTTTTCACAAAATTCAATGAATTCACATGCTGGTGAAAAATCTGTAGCTGAATCAACGTGGAAATGGTGAAATGGACGAGTACCAAAAAATGGTTGGAGGAAAATATGTAATTATAAAATGCCATAATAAAGCGTGTTATTGAGAATGCAGTAATTTTGAGTTTGTCAATAGTATATGGGGAAAGAAAATACTACGAATAATGTGAAAACAAGGGCACAATAATCGTACCAAATTTGAGGACTTCCATCAAATGTCATAAAATTAAGTATTTATTACTTGCTTTTAAATTTGGAAAAGAAAAAAAAAAAACGAAGAAGCTAGGTTAGATGTATTTGTACTACATTTTTAATAATTACATCACAATTTAATTACATGAAAGGTCATAATCTTAACTCATTATTACATTTCCATTCTCAACTTTTTCATTACATTCTTTTTCAAATTAACACTCGTATTTAACAATGATTTTCGTTCAAAAATTCCAGCAAGAAGACTTGTGACATTATATTTATAAATAAGCAAAAGAAAAAAAAAGAAGAAGAAAAAACAAATGAAAACTAAAATAAATATTTGTCCCAAGAATATAAACATGACAATAAGTAAAGACTAAAAGCTTCTATAAATGTGTGAATATAATCACCAGTTCGAAAGTTTTGCTAGTGTTTTTGAAATGAAAATATAAAAACCAAAATCACGAAAAGGAAACAACATGAGCAGAAGTTGGTGTGTTAGTTAGTGAAATGAAAAGTTGACGATAAGACATCCTGTCCGGCCCAAGGAAACCTTTGCACGCCTTTGTTACCTTTTGGGAGGCCTACGCCCTATAGAAACTGGAGTGCAATAATAAGTAAATGTTGAAACCTTTAATACGATTAAGTCTCATAAAAATAATTAGAAGTGCGGTGGAATTAAAAACACCTTCGTGGTGAAAATATAACAATCCATAATAGAAAGAAAAATATTTGCATCTTCTCGGCTCACCCCAAGCCTTCCAACCCATAACTCATCCCTCCTGTTGCTTTCCTTTTCGTTTCTTTACTTCTTTTAACTTCTTATTTCAATTCATCCCAAGGATGCCTCAATCTTTCTTATTGGCACATGATATGACACGTGATGAAGATTACTACTACTATCGGGCAAGTTTAGCACAGCGCGATGTGCTAATGATTTTTGCTCCTTTAAACTAAAAAATCTTTTCGAGATTAGAAACAATATCAACAACACCAATAAAAGAATAAAAACCATTAGCCTCTGTTCGGCCGATCATCCCACTGGCACCAGACAGCGACACAAGTCCTCGGCAGAATTGAAACGTTTCCGAACTTCTGCACATCCACATTTCAAGCAGGCAGAGAGACATTATGGGGGTGGCCTAGTTTGAAGATGGTATAGAGATTTGTCTGTTGAGAGAGAAGTGGTAGCTGGTGACGAGAATCCTGATGATGCTGCAGGAGAGAAAATCGCCATTGGAATGGCTTGACTGTCCACTCGCCACCCCCAGTAGGGTAGTCCTTGTGAAACTTCAACTCTCTTCTCCGCCACCCTTTCCTGCCAAATTATCCCATAATCTTAGACGCGTCTGGCATGTTTTTATTTCCTCAGTTTCTCAACCACAATTAAGAAATCAAGATTCAGAAATTTATCACTCCAATCATTTTGTTTACCTAAATACAAATGAATTCTTGTTCAAAATTAATGTCACACACCCCGGATCATTTTGATCATGAAAGTTGGAACTGTATTAGATTTCACCCAAATTACTCTCCTTTTCGTGGCCGGTAAATGAATTAAAATGGAGATGGTGCAGTTGTCAAATGGAGCCTATAAATCTTAACACAGTCGATAAATTTACCTCGCAGAAGGAAACTAAGTTAGGATTTAGACCAGCCCGCGATGTCGTTAATGGCAGTCCCTTAAGAGGTGAATCCATCTGTATCTTCAAGAGCAAATAGAGTGTTTTTATCAACAATGCTACTACAAAGAAATGTATTATTGAATTCATCGTACCTTCGATTTTCTTGCATTTTGTACATCGTAAGGTTGGAACTGAGGCAATGCCAAACACTCATTCTCCTTTGGGGAAGAGGTCGAAATCCCCAAGTTTAGGTCTAGATCATTTTGGCTACCTGCGTAGTTTGTATTGTATAACGAACAAACTCTTTCGAACATAAAAGTGCAAACCCGATACAATATAGAAATTATATCGATCTATACCTTCAAGCATACTTTCCCTATCGTATTTACTCGACTCAAAGTTAGTAAAAGCATCCCTTCCATTACACTGGATGGCCGCCTTGTCATAAGCCCTACGTTGCAGAAAATCAAAAACGGAAAAACGAGTTGGATAACGCCCAATTGCGATCGAGAAATTGAGTGAAAAACAAACTTATAATCAGAAATGAGTGTAATTTATGATTATTAGGACCTTGCAGCCTCTACTTCAGAGTCGAATAGCCCAAGATATATATACCTGCAGTGTAAGCATTGCAATCCCCACCATAAAAATCCAATTCCCATTTATTTCTTGTTTCAAATTATGCTCAAATCTTCTCAAGAATTATTATTTCCCATGAATTCTTAGTTCATAATTATTTATTCTGCAGGTTCAATACAGATTCTTACTTTTTGCCATGAAACTGCCCCATTCGAGCTTCCCATCGGCCACATTTGTGTAGCGTAACCCCTCTGTACCTGGAACTCCCTCTTGAAAAACCAGTGCTGTGACGTCGTAATATTTGCACAAGTTCCTCTTTACTCAGATTCTTCATCTGCACCATTATGGTAAAGTTCGATAATCTGAATGATAAGGAACTGAACTAGAACGAACGTTTCTTTGTATCATATTCCTTTCTAACCTGATTAATTTCCTCTTCATAGTCACCAAGATTGAAATTAATATCGGCGTCAACACCCCGGAACTTGATTGCAGCTTTATCATATGCTCTAAAGAAATAAAAATTAAATTTCGTAAGAATTAATAATATAATTTGAAGATAAAAAAAATAAAAAAAAATTGATAATTTACCTGGCGGCAGCAAGAGCAGTGTCAAATCCACCTAAAAACAAAACCCATCAATATTTACCAAATATAGAAACTAACTAAAAGAAAATAAAAATAAAAAAAAATTAGTACATCCTTACCCAAATAAATTTGTTTCCCACAATCCCTGCACCCAAAATAATAATTAATACAAAATTAAAAAAATAAATTTCGTTATTGGATTCATTGAAACGAGAAAAAATTACCAAATATGGGATTCCCATCTGCCAGTTCTTCTATAAAAAGTGACCCCTCTGTACTGTGAGCTCTTGGAAGGTGGGCCTCTTCTACTTTTCTTGGGCTGTACATGTTGCACCTGCAGCTTCTGCTGTTGTACCAATTTTCTTCGTTGATCAACATTATTATTGGCTTTCCCCATGTTCAACTCACCGATTTCACTCATCGGGAAGAGCTCCCGAGTCACGGGCTCCGGTACAGTCAAGCCACGATCCTTCACAACTGGGCTATTTCTATCGAGGATGGCGAAGTTGAATGTATACGAGGTTTCGGGGGAACACGTGCTGGAGCCTTCCCCATTTACAACAGATGAAGTCGACGTTACAGGGGATTCATCTTCCTCAAAATTCACTTTCCCATTCAAATCAATGCTCAGATTAAGATCAAACATCTCTTCTTCTCTCTTTCTATACTCTCTTTGACGAGAATTAACATATAGGGACATCGGAAAGAAAGCTGATCAGAGCTAATGGGTATTCAAGGCAAAGTATGTTTGATGCAGAGTTCAATTTTTATATATAGAGACAGAAAGACAGATAATTTATGATTGCATTGCAAAAAGGAGCATAAAATCATCGACCAATGTGAGATGCCTTTTTTACACAGTGAAGGAAGAGAGAGAAAGATGGAAGTTTTCTTGTACATCCAAGGAAGAAGATGGAGGAACATTTATCATTCTCCCTGTGAGGTTTTTTTTTTATTATTATTTTTTTTTTACTTTTGTCTTTTATGATAATTTCTTTTTAGTTTTCATCAAAATAAGTATTTGTTTATTTCTGTTTGAACTTTTACTGAAAGCGGGCGTAGGTGATTTCGATTATGGTTTTTGTCAAAATAAGTAATTTTCTTTTATTAGAAATGGCCTTCAGTTTAACCCTTTACTCGACCAACTTCGTTAGTTGAAAAAGTTGTATAAAAAAGTGAAATACATTAGTCGTTTAACCTGCCCACCTCAATTAGTTGGACGTGCAAGATTTCATTAGAAAATTTTCGTCAATTTTCAATTTAAGTAAAATTTTCATTGTCTCCATAACGTTTGCTTATTGTTTCTTACAATAAGTAATTGTACCAAAAAGTATTTAACAATTAAAATTAATCTTAAATATTAAAGAGCAAAATCGAACAAGTTAAATTATATTACTCAAACTTATTGTCTATTTCATAGGAAACAAACAAGTAATAGGACAAGTGAACAAAAGAGGCAAAAGAAAAACAAAAATATATAAAAGGACAAATTAATCGCCACTTTGTTTTCTTATTTTTCTTGTTTTTTCCATTTTCGGACAGGCCAATTAAAACTCACCCATTTCAACTTTCAAGGTTCCCAAATTCTCTTTTCTTTTCTTGTATTTGTAGTCACGTGTTTGGACAACTAAGACTCGTCCAATCCCATATTAAGAATATGCTTTCCCAAAAATAATGTTCCGCCAAAGGGTAGTAGGTTCAACATAGACCATTCTATCATCGGTGAAGAAAGATAATTTATATAAAAATTATAAATAAATCGAGAACTATATGGTTCGATTGAAATTTCTAAAATTGATATAGAGATGTCATAAAGTATCGAATTGTTCATAGCCCTGATATTTTAAGACCACAACTTGATTTGTGCAAGGAGAAGCAAACAATTCTTTATAGTCGAGTCATGTTGATCAATGTTTCACGTTAAACTTTGATTACAAAAAATAAATGAATAATACCTCAAAGCATGTCGTAAATAAAACACAACACTTTTCATTTTGTTAAGATTTCAAGAGTGTAGACTATGATACGAGAGAGTGGACCAAATAAAGAGAGGAGATAAGGACACACTTTTGTCTTCCACGATCACTTATTGCTAATGTTATAATTTCATTTCAAACTATTGACAAGTGTTTCATATTTATTCAACATGTTAAACATTATATCGATGATATAATTGTTGCAAAATTCTTTAAAAAATTATTCATCTGTGAAATATTTTATTTAGACGATTAATTGCGATTATCTTAACTATTAAAAGATAAATAATTAAATATTTAAGATCTAAATTAACGTAAAAAAAAAAAAAAAAACTTTCATCGTGATAAATAAAATGGTACCTCGTATTATTATACACGCAATCATTGTTCTCTAAATGAATCATCAAGTATTAATTAATAAATTCACGTGATTCGTAAGGCAAACAAGTTGGGGGGAGAACCTTAAAAAATCTACAATTATTTATTAATAAATTTCGTTAATGTCTAAACCCTAATCTTTTGAGTGGTCCGACAATTTCTTTCTTTTTCAGGCATCAATGATCAATCCAGCAAGATAATAATTAAATATTATAATTATCGATGCGATTTTGTTGGACCACTTGTATTTTCTCAATTAAAATACGAATTATTCAAATCAAACCTTCGAAAGCTGCTAAAAAAAATTATATTTCCTCGGACAAGGAATTACCACGTTTTCCTTTTTCTATTCTTTTACTTTATGAAGTCGCATTTCTTGACTTTAACCTAAATGTTATTTACCAATAAAATCTATTAAGATTTCAAATTTCAATAATTTCTAAGGGTAGTTGGGGAAATTAGTTGGCTACCCATGTAACTTGTGAAATATTGCTTGTACCTTTTGAAATTTAGTTGGATTCAAAGTGCAATCAACTTAAAATATTCCAAAATTAAAAACAAAAAGAAAGAAATTATTCTTTCGGTGCACGATAAAGCTATGCCCTACATTTTGTGAGAAGAATTTACGATGAATTTATGAACATCTCATGACCATAGTATAAGAGATGACAAGCCATTGTTGATAATTTTAAGACGGTCTCTTATTAAAAATCACGTTTGAATGTTTGAATATACAAATTATCTTATTTATATTTTTTAAATACGACATAATTTCAAGTTGAACTTAAATCCCGTGAATTCTAAAACGAAAATATATTAATAATAATAATAGTGAAATCAATCAATCTCACTTTGGTGGATCCCTCCATATGTGTGGAATCATGTCACTTCAATCTTAAGTTTTCTAGTATTAAAACAAATTAATTGCTACTCACAAATCAAACTTTGGCACTTGCCCTAACATTTCAACTGTAATGAATCACGTGATTTATTTTTTTATTCAATTGTTATTGTAGTTACGTAACCTAATTATTTATAAAGAAATTTGTGAATTTAGTTGTTAAATTATCAACAAGTGGCCATTTATCCTTGATTTTTAAAAATAAACAAATCGATCTTCAACATCGAGTTATACTTGCATAATCAGTTCGTAAAGATGAACAAACATATGACATCTATTGAATTATTATTAGCCCCGCGTGAAAACATGTCGTAGTTCAAATTTTAAGGTGGAAAATAAAATCTAAATTCACAAACTTAACATGTGAAGGTTATGTAATTACTCAATCCCTGTTCGATACAAATTTTTTTAAAATTAATTTTCAACGACATGTTCTCTTAGGGCTTGTTTGGGCTCGATTTTTTCACCAAAAAAATTGATTTTTTGACCGTTATTTTACTATTTCAGTAATCATATTTGACCTCTTCTCTCACAGGTGGATCCCACTTTTCTCCTAACGATTAAAAAATCAATTCTCAAAATCACTCACAAACAGACTCTTAATATAATATTTTTGAACAAGGACCCATAAATTTTTCTTACTTCATGATACATTAAAAAAAAAATCACTTTCATAAAATTTATTTTCAAATGATTTATACAAACAAGCCCTTAGCGAAGGTCGATTTATTTAAGGAAAAAAAAAAGGCGCGTATACAGAGAGAGAGAGAGAGAGAGAGATGAATGGGGGTAGAGAGAGAATCAATTATGCTTTAAGGACAAATACGGGGGACCTTCCTCTTAAGGTAATTGTCCAACCTTAAACTCACCTTTTACTCCTACATTTGCTTTCCAAATCCGGTAACCTCAACTACCCGCCACCCAATCAATTTACGCCACCTCTAATTTGTGACCCGACCACTAAAGCTAAGCAATTTTCCTTTATGTACATCAAGTTTGATGCTGTGACATAACAAATTTTTATACATTAATTTTAACAACACTTTAAATAATCAATGACATAAAACTTGATTCTTCACGAAATGTCAAACTTATTACGCACAAAGAATGTGCAAGTAATTTAATTCAAAACTAAGGGTGTGTTTGAGCCCATTATTTGGCATTATAATGAGATGAATAATATTTTTATTGAAAAATGTGTAGTTGAAAAATTTTTAATTTACGTGTAATATTATTTTATTAAAAATTGTGTGGTTAAAAGTAGGAAAGCGAAAAATTTAATTTAATATAATGAGAAATAATGAGACTCAAATGGGGGCTAAATGCTATCTTTTTTGGAGAAGTGCCAGAGCTACAGCCCCCTCTACATGGCGGCTAACGGCCCCTCACAACAGGGGACCCATGCCTTTTTTTTATTGGTGCGAACCCTTGTTGTGAAGGGGGGGGGGGGG